AACTGTCTGGGACAGGTGTTCCTGTAAGTTCAGTGAGGTGACAGTCACTTGGGCTCTGGCAGAGAGGGAAGGCAGACTAGTTTGGAACTGTGTGGAAAGACTTGGGAGTTTGGAGAGCTGGGACAGCAGTGACAGTTTTTTGCTGAGTCACTCCCACACAAGACAATAACCATCTTGCTCAAAGGGCCCTTTCCTAGAGCTCCAGGGAGCATGGCTTTATTTCAAATATTATTCCCTAGAAACATTTGGAGGTCTCCAGGTAAAAACCATTTCCCTCATAATCTTATTTCATAGAACAATATTTAGAAAAAGCTGGAGCCATGATTCAGGTTTGTCAGCTACCTTCCAAAGAGTCTGAAGATAAAAACAATTTCTTCTTTGCCCTGGTCGGTTTGGTTCAGCGGTTAGAGCGTCGGCCTGCGGTCCTGAGAGACCCGGGTTCGGTTCCCGCTAAGGGCACGTACCTCAGTTGCAGTTTGTCCCCGGCCCTGGTCAGTCGTGCGGGTGGCAGCCACTCGATGTGTTCCTTTCACGTCGATGTTTCTCTCTCTCTCTCTGTTCCTCTCTCTCCCTCCCACTCTACCTGAACAAAAAATGGAAAAATGTCCTCGGGTGAGGATAAAAAAACAAAAACAAAAACAAAAAAAACAATTTCTTCTTTGAAAGCACATTGCTTTTCCCACCCCCCTCCAGTCCCCTAGATGTGTTAAGGCAGTGGTTCTCAACCTTCCTAATGCCACAACCTTTTAATACAGTTCCTCATGTTGGGGGGACCCCCAACCATAAAATTATTTTTGTTGCTACTTCGTAACTGTAATTTTGCTACTGTTATGAATTGCCATCGGAAATATGTGTTTTCCGATGGTCTTAGGCGACCTCTGTGAAAGGGTCGTTTGACCCCCAAAGGGGTCATGACCCAAAGGTTGAGAACCACCGTAAGGCATTGTACGTTATGTTACCTAGCAGAGATGCGGAGCTGGAGAAATTTATAGGTTAATGCAGAAATTCCTATCCTCTTGGAGTTACATTATCTTGCATCATTTTAGAGAGACAGTTTTAAGTTGAAAATAATTACAAACTCTCAAAAATTAGCTGCCCCATGATGCATTAGAGCAGATGACGAACTGGCCTATAGCTGGAAGCTTTCAACAGGAGTATTAGATAAAATAGTCTCATATTAAGTGGAAAATTGGATTATAAAATTCCTAAGGTACATTCCAATACTAAGAGTTCTATTAAGTTCTTGGATTTTATAAGATGGAATCAAAGGAAAATTAAATAGCTTATCTTGTCAGGGTCAGGAATGTTGATGCACAAAACACAAACCAGCTATCTATCCTCTTGGTGCTAATCTACTGATATTACTTTTATTAAACTTGAAAACTAAGCTACTATCCCCTCAATTTGGCATGTGTGTAAATACATACATACATGTATGCCAACTTCTATGACTAAGGACAGATTTGAAAGCTTTCTACAAAAACAGAGGGTAATTTTTAGGAACTTCATTAATCCGTGTACTCTGTATTTCTATCATTGGAGTTAGCCAAATTCATAAATGAAATCTTACTTTTCCTAAAAAAGATTCTCTAGAACTGCCCTGGCCAGTGTGTCTCATTGGTTACAGTGTGGGCCCTGAGTACAGAAGGGTCTTGGGTTCCATTGCCGGTCAAGGGCATATACCTGGGTTACAGGTTCGATCCCTGGCCTAGTTGGGGAGAGTGCAGGAGGCAACCACTTGATATGTTTTTCTCACATCAATGTGTTTTTCTTCTCCCCATCTCCCCCCCTCTGCTACTCTCTCTAAAAAAAATCAATGAGAAAAGTATCCTTGGGTGAAGATTAGAGAACAAAAAAAAAAAAAAAAAAGATTCTCCAAAACTAAGCCTGCTTTTTAGACCTCCCTCCACGAATTCATTCAGAATTTTCAAAATTTGTGTTATTTCAGAAATGAAAATAATCACTACACAAGCTTATTCTCTCTGGGATAATCACTTTATAACTAGTACTGCCATACAATTTCAATTCCTATTGTCATGTGATCGTAAACATTACTGTGGTTCCTTAAATGAGCCTAAGTCCCCAAAAAACATCACTGGAAAGCCAAACCAATTGTGGCCACCAACCTTTGGGTAAGGCCCTTAACATTGTTGTTGTTGTGGAAGCCATTTTTCACTTGCTTGCTTAAATATTCCGAGACTAGATGGTTTTATGGTAGCTTAAGTAAATAACAAATTGATAAGAGACCTATATCATTGGACCATACAAACTAAGATTGCCTGATTGAACTCACAAGAACCTATGCTTTATCAATCAGATTCATATTCCTTGTGTTAAGTGCAGTGTCCTTATGACACTATTTGTCAGTTTCCTATTTAACAGCATCTTCACATAAGCCATTAGATTCAAGTAAAGTACTGAATAGTGACTAAACTGTAAAATTGATATAACAAACAAAAAACTAGTTAAGCAATAATCCATTAGAGTGGAAGATCAGTGAATATTTCCTTTAAAAATGTTAGTTACCTCATAGTTAAAGAAATTTTTTCATCCAAATGAGCCTTCTTTTTTCACTTCAGCCATATTTTTTATTGTAGTAAAATATACACAACATAAAATTTACCATTTTAATTGTATAGTTTAGTCACATTAAGAACATTTATATTATTGTGCAATCATCCAAAGAGTCTTTAGTGTTCATTCACTTCTTCATAATCTTATTGTTTTAAGGGTTTAGAAAAATGCTTGATGTATAGCTCCTATCATTATTAATCTTTAAAAATATGTTAGATAATGATATAACAACCCTTTTTTCTGTATTTGTAAAAAGACTCCTCCAATTAGAAATACTAAATTTCAATGTATTAGTCTAATAATTTTTATTTTACTTTATTTCTTTCTTCAACCATGACTATTAGGATATTATATATATATTAAAAAATTGTTTTCGCGAAAGAAAAACACTAGACCCAGACCTGTTAAACTAGTCTGTGTGACAGCCAAAATGTTTTCCTAGTCACTGACTGAAAAGGAAATAGAATTTTGTATAATGTTTTACACCTGAACCTGTTCACAGCACTTTAGAGAGGTCAATATCAGATGAGAGTTCGGAGGCTGGCTTTCTTTCACAATGCCAGTTCTTTAACACAACCTAGTCATTACCTGAACTGTAAGTTCACTAAGTTAAATGCCACCATTTCCCAACCTTTCTTCCAATTTTAAAAAACAATTAAATCTTATGCTTGATGTATTTCTATTATGCACTGGTAAATTCAAAACAAAACTTCTGCAGCACAAGTAAACACAAGTGGCTTCATATGTTAGTGCTTTGCCTTTAACATCTTTCATATGGACACTGCAGCTGCTGTCCTGCTCTATATTACTATATTAGACCACAATACTTTCCTTAAATGTGTCTGTTAAATAGGCAGCACATTAATGCTTCTCAATCACAGATATCCAAGGCATTCCCACCAGAAAGAGACAAGTCAGAGAATTCCTACCACCCAAAAAGAAGAAACCATGTAACCAAAGTAAGCATGCTTCTCAATCTGTACCAGGGGGTTGGGGAAAAAAAAATTGAATGAAAAGAAAGCAAGATTAAAGGGATCAGTTCTGAGACTGAGAATTAGGTTTAGGTGAATTCCAACATTGGGAAATTACTGAAACACCCCTTAAGTAGCAATGGAATCAATCAGGAAACCCTAGGGTCTTTTGATTTCGGACTTAAACCCCAAAACAAAATATCTGAAATTAAAGTATTCCCCCTACTGGCGCAGCTATATTCTTACATGCTTCTATAAAATCCATAAGACCTACAAGGAGTCCCTGTTATTTAGAACTGATTCCAAGTATCCACGAGTGTCCACTTTCTGTGTCCAAATCCAAAAATAATGTTGGCACTGACCTGGGGAGGACCTTGACGCACATTTTCCTCTGAAATCATTAGCCTCACACATCACCTTCCGACGTCCTATCTAAAATAGCTTGATCAGTATAGCAAACGGGGAGAGGGTAACAACAGGCACATACATTTACTAGTCCTGCACAAAAAACATAATAAACCTGGGAGCAAGATCTGGCAAGGTATAACTCGCCTGGCCTGCCTTCCACAATCATACAAAGACACGGTGAGAGCAAGAGAAGACGGGGTCTCTGCACCCTACACCTCACTCTGCAAGAGAGTTAGAAGACTTTCAATGCAATTGGACCCAACCCTCAACATCCCCCTCCCACGTGGGTCTCCTCCCTCGCCCGAGCGCAGGGTAGCATAGGCGAAGAATCAGAGGAGGGAATCTGACCACGCCGGGGCTGGGACGGGAGTGGTGGAGAGGCGAGCCCCAGGCCCACATCCCAGCCCCTTCCCAGAGGCCCAGGGCTCTACGCCTCCAAGTTCCGGGTCTCAGCTCCCACCCCGAGACCCAGGCCCTTCCACGTCTCCCCAGAGGGGAACTCGAGGCCCCGGAGCTGTGGGGAGGGTTGGGCTACATAAGTCCGGGTACGGACAGGATGGAGCCGGGGCCGCGTGCGGGTGGGCAGAAGATGGGAGGCGGCCCCCAGCTGCCACTGCTCCTTCCTGGGCCCCAGCCTCTCCAGGCCACGAATCGCTGGCTCTGAGGCTGCCCTGACCTCACCTCCCGGCGGCGACGTCCGTCGTCCGGTGGTCGCGGAGCCCCTGTGCGGAGGCAGTGCTGGGTTGGGGAAGACGCGGTGAGATCCGACGATGGCTGACAGGCGCTCAGCTTCAGGCCCGCCTGGCACACGGTGAAGGGGCGGGGCTTCCCGGGAGCCGGCCCGCCCCCGCCCCGCCCCTACCTCCCACCTCTGCCAGCAAACCCCATGAGGTGACTATGTCCGGGGTTACTCAAGGCTGTTCACCTCCGACCCCGCTCCGGGCTGCGGAGCGGCCTGGCACGCTGAGAGGCGCCGCGCAGACCCCGAGGCCCTGGTGACAGCCAATGGGAGGGAGGCGCTGGGCGGGGCGACGTGAGGCGTTGTGGATGGTCCGAGCGCCGCTCTGCCATTCGGGACCCAGCGGCCAGAAGGCGGGCGGGTCCTGGGCGATCGCGGCGCCCCCAGCCCGGCCTTCGCTGCTCTTTCTGCTGGGTTGGCGGGTGCAAGGCCGGCTGGCCGCTCCCCCTCCTGGCGGACAAGGGGATGGGGAAGTGGCCCCGCTGACACCTCCCATCTGCGAGAGAAGCGCCCTGAGCCAGCAGGCATGTAGCGCGGGAAGGTGGTTGGTGTTCGGGCCTCGTCAGGATCTTTCCGTGTTCAGTTCTTTCACCCTGAAGAAGTAGGTATTACATCTGTGAATTGTCCAGGATCACACAGGCTGGTTTGCAAATTAGTGCAGGCTAAAGAATCCCTGTTCTGGAACATAACCAGACTCCCTTGGCTTGCTCCTCAGACCCAAAGCAGCTCACCTCAAAGGAGTCTAAGTTGCTGGATCCTGGAGCATTGAGGGAAGCTTTAGTAAAGAAAGCTCAGTAAGAAGGCCAGTGTGCTTAAGGACAGCAGTCCTTTCTGCCTGCCCTGAGCAGGGAAAATAGATGGCGGTAAATTCCTGACTTATATTGGAGTTTGCCTCTCAGTTTCTACTGTGGTTACACCAAGCCTTTGAGAACAAGCCAACCAAGTTTTTCCAGTTAATGCATAGCAGGCTTTCATGGTGGCTGTGTGTTGAAAATGAACAGGAACTAAAAAGAGTCCTAACATATAATACAACTATTGGGTGGAAGAAAAAGAAAATTGCCCTTCAGAAGAATGGGGTGAGTTTAACCCCTTCCAAGGATTTAATGGAGCTCCCAGAGTAATTTTCTGATCCCTACACAAGCTTGTGCTAAAGGGCAAAAGATGTACAGAGGATGATTTGGCAAGAAGGTCTGTGCCAGATGGCAAAAAATGAATAGTATAGCCCTGGCCAGTTTGGCTGACCTGTTGGAGCATTGGCCTGCGGGCCAGAGTGTCCTAGGTTCGGTTTCCCTAGGGGTGAGTACCAAAAAAAAGAAAGAATAGTATAGAAATACACACCTGGAGGTCAGAAGTTCTTGGGCCAAACAGAGGCAGGGAGATAGGAAGATTGGTCAACATGGAGCAATACTCATCTAGGAGCCTTCAATACCACTAGGTGGTGGCTTCTCCAAGAGTTTACCAACCTAGTTTAAAATAATAGGGACTAGAAACAAATTTAGAAAGATGTAGACTCTACAGAGCACTGACCCACATTTCACAATAGCTTTATCTGTCACTGGATGCACATCAGTTGAACAAACATAGGAAATCAGAATTTAAAGATAACTGCAGGTTTAACAGGATGTTTGACTTGGCTGAATGAAGAAAAAGGTGTGTGTGTGTGGGGGGAGGGGGACTGGGAAGAGGGAAGTTTTACCTCTTCCTGATAGTGGTCTTTGAAGCTGGCATGAAGGAAGTGACTTTGGAAAGACTAAAATTTTTGAGGTTGCCTCTTCTATTTTTCATCCACCTTTCCTAGTTCCTATTAAGTAATAGGAACTCTGGCCCCAAGATTCCTTCTTAGTGGTGTTGCTGTTTATCAGCCTTAGGTGCACTGCAAAATCAGGTTACCCTCCAAAACTGTCCTTATGTGAAATTTCAGCAAGCCCTTACATGTCCTGCTTGTGACCTCACTGAAAATTTGAAGTAACTAAGCTCTCTAAAGAACTAGCCAAGGAAAGGCCTGAAAGAGTGACAGTGAAAGAAACCAAAGGATATGTTAGGATACACGAAGACCAATTAGGTAGGATCTAATAATCTAATTATTACCATCAAATGTTAAGATGAGTGGGCAGAGCTATGTCTTTTCTTTTTTTTTTTTAATCCTCACCCAAGGACATTTTTTCATTTCTTGTTCAGATAGAATGGGAGGGAGGGAAACATCGATGTGAAAGGGACACATGGAGTGGTTGCCACCCACACAACCCAACCAGGGCCGGTGATAAACTGCAACCGAGGTACGTGCCCTTAGCGGGAACCGAACCCAGGTCTCTCTGGACCGCAGGCCGACACTCTAACCGCTGAGCCAAACTGGCCAGGGTAGGCTGTGTCTTTAAGACAATACACATGAAATTTCAACAGCTCCAAAGTGGTGCAAGCCAAAACCTGCCAATCTTTAGACTCTTTAGAGCTGTTCCAGTGGTTCTTGCCACACAAGCCATTATGTCTGTAAGAAGCCGAGGAGAGCCTCGGGGTGGAGACAACTTACTATACGAGACTAACAGGTGGAAGAGAAGGGAGTAGAACATTTCTAGAAGCTGAAACTAGATAGTAACAATGGGATGAATAGTGTCCCAGGATTCTTATGTTGAAGTCCTAATCCCCATTACCTCAGATGCTATTTGGAGATAGGATCTTTAAAGAGGAAATTAAATTAAAATAAGGTCTTTAGGGTGAACCCTAATTCCAAATGATAGGTGCCCTTTTATTATTATTTTTTTCTATTTATTGATTTTTAGAGAGGAAAGGAGAGAAACATCGATTTGTTATTCCATTTATTTAAGCATTCATTAACTGATTCTTGTAACATGACCTAACCGAGGATCAAACCTGAAACCCTGGTGTATGGGGATGATACTCTAACCAACTGAACTACCTGGCCAGGGCCTAATTAGTGTCTTTATGAAAAGAAGAGATTAGGACACTGACATACACATAGGAGAGACCATCTGTGAATCACAAACTGATGAAGCATTTGCCAGAATTGTAGCTCTTATGTGGGAGAAGATGGCCATCTATTATCCAAAGAGAGAAACTTCTAAAGAAACCAACCCTGGCCCTGGCCGGTTTGGCTCAGCGGTTAGAGCGTCGGCCTGCGGTCCACAGAGACCCGGGTTCGGTTCCTGCTAGGGGCATGTACCTCAGCTGCGGTTTGTCCCCGGCCCTGTCTGGGTCGTGTGGGTGGTGGCCACTCGGTGTGTCCCTTTCACATCGATGTTTCTCTCTCTCCCTCCTGCTCTATCTGAATAAAAAATGGAAAAATGTCCTCGGGTGAGGATCAAATAAAAAAAAAAAAAAAAAAGAAACCAACCCTGGGAACATCTTGATTTTGGATATACAGCCTCTAGAACTGTGAAGAAATAAATTTCTATTATTTAAACCTCCCAATATGTGTGGATCTTTATTATGGGAGCCCTAGAAAACTAGTATCAGCTCGCCAGTGTGGCTCAGTGGATTGAATGTCATCCCATGGACTGAGAGATCCTGGTTCAATTCCTGGTCAGGGCACAAGCCTGGGTTGCTGGCTCAACTCCCAGCAGGGGGCGTGCAGGAGGCAGACAATTGATGTTTCTCTCTCACATTTTTAAATGTTTCTAAAAACATTTTAAAAAAGAAAAACTAATATCAAATGGCTTCCAGATTTTTCAAGAAGGTTGCATAAAGGTATCAGGGATTTATCCTGAACATTCCAGCTATCATCCACTTTAAAGATGGTCTCAAATATTCTGTGTCAACTATAATTAAAAAACATATTTTTTTAAAAATTGAAAAAAAGGATGGTCTCTCACCCTACTGTGAAAAAGTTAGAAAAGTCTGAGGGGGTCTCTGTCATTAAAATGATTATAACCTAGTTGGGAAGACAAAACTAAACACCAAAACAGAATGTCTACAACTTGCTCCTTAGATAATAACCATGTGAATCTTATAAGAGCCATAGATGAGAGAGGATAAATTCTCAAACATGAATAAGCCCAGAAATACATAAATAGTATGTGTGGTACTGTCCAGGCCATTTTGGCACTTTATTGTCAATTCTACTTCAGTTTATGGCAGTGTTTGTTAAAGTATGTTCCACTGAGCACCTGAAACAATCACTAGGTGCTTGTTAAAAATATAAATTCACAGCCCCACTGCAAACTTTGTATTTATTTATTTATTTATTATTTTTTTAGAGAGAGTGGAAGGGAGGAGAGATAGAAACATCAATGAGAGAGCGATTGGCCACCTCCTGCATGCCCCGCACTGGGGATCAGCCCACAACCTGGGCATGTACCCTGACTGGGAATTGAACCGGCAACCTATTGGTGCATGGGTCGATGCTCAACTACTGAGCCACACCAGCCGGGCTTCATTGCAGACTTTTTTTTTTTTTTTTTATCCTCACCCGAGGACATTTTTCCATTTTTTGTTCAGGTACAGTGGGAGGAAGAGAGAGGAACAGAGAGAGAGAGAAACATCGACGTGAAAGGAACACATCGAGTGGCTGCCACCCGCACGACCGACCAGGCCCGGGGACAAACTGCAACCGAGGTACGTGCCCTTAGTGGGAACCGAACCCGGGTCTCTCTGGACCGCAGGCCTGACGCTCTAACTGCTGAGCCAAACCGGCTAGGGTCATTGCAGACTTTTTAAAGCAGTAATTATTCACCTGAAGTTTGAGAACAGTAGTTTAGGATTTATGCTTATTGTTCCCCTTTTGCTGCCAGTGTCTCTGATCAAACAGCAGTGCCTTCTACACCTGCACTTCCAAGATAGGAAAGTCTTATCAAGTCAGGCCAGAGTTAAACCAAGGGAGGAAAGTGTCTTAATAGAAAATGAAACTATGAAGAGCCCCCTGTCCTGCTGGCTGTCATGGTTCCACTTCCTTAAGTAGCAAGGTCAGTGATCAACCGTTAAGACAGAGAACGGAGGAAAGACTAGGATGCTATTTCTCACTGGTCCCCAACATATAACATATATTCCAACCTGGCTTCTAGCTTTTGCCATGCTTATTCTTACCTTTGCTTATACTGTCAAACTTGTCCTTCCTCCTTCCTAATTTTCTGAATCTTTCTAGTCCTTAGAAGTCCCCTCTTCACTAAGATCTCTTTATTTCTTCAGCTTCTACTGATATAGCTTTCCTCTGAATTCCTGTAGCAATCTGATCACCACTACATGGTTCAACATTTATTAGGCTTTAATTATTTCTGTGTATGTTGGTTTTAGTTCTCCACTAAATTTTAATAATCTTAAAGGCAGAGAATATTTTTTATATTTTGGTATTCCTCTCTGTAAGTATTAAAGGAGGGCTAAATATGGATGTTAGTAAGTGACTCATTGACTGAACTAAAGATTAGCTAGCTCACCCTGGCTGGTTTGGCTCAGCGGTTAGAGTGTCGGCCTGCGGTCCAGAGAGCCAGGTTTGGTTCCCGCTAAGGGCGTGTACCTCGGTTGCAGTTTGTCCCCGGCCTTGGTTGGGCCCTGTGGGTGGCAACCACTTGATGTGTCCCTTTCACGTCAATGTTTCTCTCCCTCTCTCTCTCTCTCTCTCTCCCTCTCTCTCTCCCTCCCACTCTATCTGAACAAAATATAGAAAAATGTCCTCGGGCGAGGACTAAAAACAAAAAAGATTAGCTAGCTCTGCCCAGCCAGTGTGGCTCAGTGGTTGAGTGTCCAGCCATGCACCAAGAAGTCACTGGTTCAATTCCCAGTCAGGGCACATGCCCAGGTTGTGGGCCCAATCCCCAGTGCAGGGCATACAGGAGGTAGCCAATTGATGTTCTCTCTCATCAATGTTTCTATCTCTCTCTCCCTCTCCCTTCCTCTCTCTCTCTCAAATCAATGAAGAAAAAATATTAAAAACAATGTTTTTTAAAGATCAGCTAGCTCTGTACCTGAGAGGCCACACTGCTCCTGATATCTGTCTGCTTATTTGTCTTCACATTGCCTCTGGGAGGCAAAGCCTCCAGTATCATACTTAGCTGACTTACAGATGGACAGACTTCATCAAGAAAAGTCAGGTCCTTGACCAGAATTATGGCTCCAGTCATGAGATAGAGAAAAAGAAGACACACAGACCTTTATCTGAACACTACATTCCTTTGCTCTGGTCAACCATTTAAGTTCATTCAGAGTTAAGAGCCTGGGAATTTCATACCATAAAGTCAGAAAATGTCCCCAAGGATGCCTTTATAAGTCTGGTCCTGATGATGAAAGGTAGGATTGCACAATGTATGACAGAGTTCATAGTGAAGATCCACCATCATGTTTTCACATGGACATTTAGGTTCTCACCGGCATTTCAACGCTCCTTCCCTCCTAACTATCCAATACCGAACACTTACAATCCCCATCTATATTTGATAGTCACAAAATCTTAGCTGCTTCTTCCCTAGCACCTCCAATATCTTTTCTTTTTTTTTTTTAAATCTCTAAGTCCCACACATCTCATAGCTAAATATCTAGAGAAAGTTTAAACATTTAAAAGGCCCTTTCAGCTAAAGGTAGGAAAATGGACAAGATGACTTGTTTAGGTCCTGCCCAGTCCTGAGACTTTGACATTTTATATTGATCAGCTTTACAAACTTGTCATCTCTGACCTCACTCTCCTTCAAACCAATGAAAGTGGCCCTGGTGAGCTGACTTCCTGCTCCTGTCCTCATCTTCTCTTCAGACTTCTCCTATTTCAGACTCAGCCTTTTCCTGTTACATGTTTAGGCCTCCTCCTATGTACCCCCAACAAGTACCCTCACTCTTCATTGTTATTACATATGACACACAATACAAAATAAAATACAACATTAATCATTTTTATAAAGCCTTTACTTTTACAAGGAAAATGAGCCACACTCAACTTCCTTTTATCCTTTTCAGTCCTCCAGTCTTAAAGTTTTATAGGAAGATTTGACAATGTCCCTATCTTTTCTTTTTTAAAATATTTTTTTCTTTATTGCTTTTTAGAAAGACAGGAAAGAAGAGGGAGAGAGGGATAGAAACATTGATGTGCGAGAGAACAATCGATTGGCTGCCTACTGCATGCCCCCCACCGGGGATCGGGCTCACAACCTGGGCATGTGCCCTGACCATGAATTAAACCAGTGATCTCTTGATGCATGGGTCAACACTCAACCACTGTGCAACAATGGCCAGGCAATGCCCCTATATTTTTAAAATCTTACCTCTGGTTAGCATAGTAGACCAGCAAGTGGAAAGCTTATCTCCCCAACATAAGTCTTGTTTATCAGTGGACCTACTGTGCTGATATGCCCAATTTTCTTGATGAGAACAAAAAGGAAGAAAGGATAAAGGAAACAAAAAAATGTAGTTTAAATCAATGAATGAGATGGCCGTAATCATTTGAATAACACAGTTTGGGGGGTGAATTCAGAAAAGCAAAACTGAGAAGAACTGACTCTTGGTATTGTTAATAGGAGTCAAAGATATCTTTTTTTCCCTTTCAATTAAAAAAAATTGTTTTTTCTTTATTGAATTTTTAGAGAGATAGAAACGTCGATGAGACAGAACATCAATTAGCTGCTTCCTGCATGCCCCACAGTGGGAATCGGGCCCACAACCTGGGTATGTGCCCTGACCAGGAATAGAACTGGCGACCTCTTGGTGCATGCATCATGGGTTGATGCTCAACCACGGAGCCACATCGGCCAGGTGAGCCAAAGATATCTTAAGAGCAGCAGGAACTTTGCCTTCTCTGTGCCCTGTATTGTAAAGAGCCTGAATTATTTAATCAGATAGACCAAGCTTTAAATCCTGACTCAGTCATTAATTAGCTCTGTGACCTGGAGCAAATGAACCCCTTCTGAGCCTCAGTTCCTTGCCTATAAAACTGAGACATAACATCTACCTTGCAAGGTTGTGTTTTAAATTAAATGTTATAATCAAAATGTAAAGTGTCTAACACAAAGCATAGAACACAGTAGGCACACTGAAAATATTACTTCTCACTTTCTCTCTGTTTTCCTACATTTCCTACTACCGTTCAATACAAGAACAAAATAGCCTGTGGATGCTCACTTTATTCAGTAAAGGTTGTATTATTAAATTTACCAACAACTGCATCTGGAGCCAATATTCCCAGGGTAACAGAGCATGTGATCAGGAACCTAGGGATAATCTGAGTCCAACACTTACTTGGAGGGAGCAAGTAAACAGAAGTGACTGTGGCCCTGAGAACCAACTAAAGGATTGGCACTCTGAGAGTATGTATGGTTGTGCCATACTGAAAAGGGTCTTTGACCCCTTTGGGAAGGATGTGAGACAACAGGAATTTTCATAGTCTGCAGACAGGAGTGTAAATAAGTACAATCTCTTGGAAAATAGTTTGTCATTCATTAGTAAAGATGAACAAACCCTGCACCGGAAGGTTGTGGGTTTGATCCCTAGTAATGGTGCTTATAGGAAGCAACCAATCGATGTATCTCTCTCACACCCATGTTTCTTTCTTTCTCTCTCTCTCTCTGCCTTCCACTCTAAAATAAAAAATAAATAAAATACATAGTATCTGTTATATATCCAGAGAACAGACTGATGGATGCCAGAGGGGAGAGGATTGGAGGGGGTGAAAAAGAAGGGATTAAGAAGTACTAATTGGTAATTACAAAATAGTCACGGATATGTAAAGTACAGCAAAGGGAATATAATCAATAATATTGTAATAACTATGTATGGTGCCAGGTGGGTACTGGAAATATTGGGGAATCACATTGTAAAGTATTTGACTGTCTAACCACTATGTTGTACACCTGAAACTAATACAAAATAATGTTGAATGCAAACCACAATTTTAAAAAAATTTTCAAAACAACTAAAAAAATACATAGGGTCTTGCCCTGGCCGGTTTGCTCAGTGGTTAGAGCATCGTCCTATGGACCGGAGAGTCCCAGGTTCGGTTCCCGCTAAGGGCACGAACCTCGGTTGCAGTTTGTCCCCGGTCCTGGTTGGGGTTGTGTGGCTGGCAGTCACTCGATGTGTCTCTCTCATATCGATGTTTCTCTCTCTCTCTTTCCCCCTCTCTCCCTCCTGCTCTATCTGAAGATAAATGTAAAAAATGTCCTCGGGTGAGGATAAAAAAACAAATTAAAAAAAATACATAGTGTCTGAAAAGATGTTTAACATCACTAATCATCAGGGAAATGCAAATTGAAACCACAGGGAGCCCTGGCTGGTGTTGACCTGCACACACCGAAGACCTAATTGATCTTAGGTTCAATTCCCGGTCAAGGGCACATACCTGGATTGCAGATTCAATCCCCAATCCCAGTTGAGGTACGTGCAAGAGGCAACCAATCAATGTGTCTCTCTCACATGGATGTTTCTCCCTCTCTCCCTCTCTCTTTCTCCCTTCCTCTCTTCCTTCCATTTTCTCTGAGAATCAATGGAAAAAATATCCTCGGGTGAGGATTAGCAGAACAACAAAAAATCACAATGAAATCACCCCACACCTGTCAAAATGGCTGGCATCAATAAGGCAACAAACAACAAGTGTTGGCAAGGATGTGGAGAAAAGGGAACCCTTGTACGCTTTCGGTGGAATTTTAGATCGGTGCAGCCACTGTGGAAAACAGTATGGAGTTTCCTCAAAAAATTAAAAATAGAACTACCTTATGACCCGGCAATTCCACGTCTGGGTATCTATATGAAGAAATTGGAAACACTACTTCAAAATGATATGCACCTTATGTTCACTGAAGCATTTACAATAGCTGAGATATAGAAGTAACCTAAGTGTCCATCTATAGACAATTGGATAAAGATATAGTACACAGATACAATGGAATATTACTCAGCCATAAAAAATAATGAAATCTCTTGCTCCCAGGCATATGTCTCATTTTGGCTCAAATAAACTCTTATACAAATTGAAAAAAAAAAAAGAAATCTTACCATTTTTTGTTTGTTTGTTTTTTAATCCTCACCGGAGGACATTTTTCCATCTTTTGTACAGATAGAGTGGGAGGGAGAGAGAGGAGGAAAGAGAGAGAGAAACATCGACGTGAAAGGGACACATCGAGTGGCTGCCACCCGCATGACCAACCAGGGCCGGGGACAAACTGCAACCGCAGTACGTGCCCTTAGCGGGAACCGAACCCGGGTCTCTCTGGACCGCAGGCTGACACTCTAACCGCTGAGCCAAACTGGCCAGGGTGAAATCTTACCATTTGTAACAACATGGATGGACCCAGAGGGTATTATGCTAAGTGAAATAAGTCAGGCTGAGAAAGACAAATACCGTGTGATTTCACTTATATGTGGAATCTAAAAAAAAAACAAATAAATGAGCAAATAATAATGAACAAACAAACTTACAGATAGAGAGAACAAATAGGTGATTGCCAGAAGGGAGGGCTTTAGGGGGATGGGTGAATAAAGTGAAAGGGATTAAAAAGTACAAATTGCCAGTTATAAAAACAGTCATGGGGATGTAAAGTATGCATAGGGAATATAGTCATTAATATTGTAATGACTATGTATGGTGTCAGATGGGTACTACACTTATCGAGTGATAACTTCATAAGATATATAAATGTCTAATCATTATGTTGTACACCTAAAACTAACATAATATTATATAATAGATAAATAAATAAATAAATGGTACAGAGAGTATGCTCCATCCATTTACATAAATTCAAAAGCAGGCAAGATTTAATAAAATATATTTAGTGATACATATACAAATAGTTCACTATTTTAAAAAAGCATAGGAGCCCTGGCTGGTTTTGTTCAGTGGTTAGAACATCAGCCAATGGACCAAAGAGTCTTAGGTTCAATTCCAGTCAAGGACATGTACTTTGGTTGCAGTTCATCCGAGGCCCTGACTGTGCAGGAGGCAACCAATCAACGTGTCCCTCTCATGTCAGTGTTTCTCTCTCTCCTTCTCTCCTGCTCTATCTGAAGATAAATAGAAAAATATCCTTGGGTGAGGATTTTAAAAAATAAAAAATAGCCCTGGCTGGTTTGGCTCAGTGGTTAGAGCGTCAGCCCCTGGACCAATGAGTCATGGATTTGGTTCCATTCAAGGGCACATACTTCGGTTTCGGTTCCTCCTGGCCCTGGTCAGGGTCGTTCGGGAGGCAACCAGTTGATGATGTATCTCTCTCACATTGATGTCTCTCTGTCTCCCTCTCTCTTTCCCCATCCCTCTCCCCCACTCTATCTGAAGATAAATACAAAAATATCCTCGGGTGAGGATTAAAAAATGAATAAATAAATAAAAATTTAAAAAGCACAGGAAGCCCTGGCCGGTTTGGCTCAGCGGTTAGAGCGTCGGCCTGCAGTCCCGAGAGACCCGGGTTCAGTTCCCGCTAAGGGCACGTACCTCGGTTGCAGTTTGTCCCCGGCCCTGGTTGGTCGTGCGGGTGGCAGCCACTCGATGTGTCCCTTTCACATCGATGTTTCTCTCTCTCTTCCTCTCTCTCCCTCCCACTCTACCTGAACAAAAAATAGAAAAATGTCCTCAGGTGAGGATAAAAAATAAAAATAAAAAAAATAAAAAAATAATAATAAAAAGCACAGGAAAATAATGATTGAGAGGAGAGAAATGAGTGTGATCAAAAAGTCAGACATACGCCCTGGCCAGTTTGGCTCAGCGGTTAGAGCGTCGGCCTGTGGTCCAGAGAGACCCAGGTTCGGTTCCCGCTAAGGGCACGTACTTCGGTTGCAGTTTGTCCCAGGCCCTGGTTGGTTGGTCGTGTGGGTGGCAGCCACTCAATGTGTCCCTTCACATCGATGTTTCTCTCTCTCTCTCCCTCCCACTCTATCTGTACGAAAAATGGAAAAATATCCTCGGGTGAGGATAAAAAAAAAAAGACAGACATACACCCTGGCCAGTTTGGCTCAGCGGTTGAGCGTCGGCCTGCAGACCAGAGAGTCCCGGGTTCGGTTCCCGCTAGAGGCACGTACCACTAAATAAATAAATAAATAAATAAAAATAAAATAAAAAAGACAGACATACAAAGAACTTCTAGGATACTGTCAACGTTTAATTTCTTACTTTTGGTGATGGCTATGCGGTGTTCACATTATTATTATTGTCGCTGCTATTGTTATTATTTAAAATATACTATGGCCCTGGCTGGTTTGGCTCAGCGGCTAGAGTGTTGACCCACGGACCAAAAGAGTTGCAATTTTAATTCCGGTAAAAGGCACGTACCTTGGTTGCGTTTCCATCCCCAGCCCCGGTGGGGTCCTACAGGAGGCAACCAATCAATGTATCTCTCTCGCATTGATGTCCCCCCCCCCTCTAAAAATCAATAGAAAAAATATCCTCAGGTAAGGAATAACAAAAAATAATAATAATAATAAAATATACTATGTTCTATATATTCTTCTATATGTATGCTATATTCCACAATAAAAGAATTTAAAATAAACTCAAACATAAAAAAGCATATGCCCTTAAAAGAAAGAGTAGCAGAGTGTGGCACTGAGATAATAATTTTAGAGTTGGAAGAGGCCTTCAAAACCATTTGTCCAGCCATCTCATTAAAGAAACCAAAACAGGCCCTGGCCAGTTTGGCTCAGCGGTTAGAGCGTCAGCCTGCGGTCCGCAGAGACCCGGGTTCGGTTCCCGCTAAGGGCACGTACTTCGGTTGCAGTTTGTCCCCGGCCCTGGTTGGTCGTGCGGGTGGCAGCCACTCGATGTGTCCCTTCACATCGATGTTTCTCTCTCTCTCTCCCTTCCTCTCTCCCCCTCCCGCTCTATCTGTACAAAAAATGGAAAAATGTCCTCGGGTGAGGATAAAAAAAAAAAAAAAAAAAGAAACCAAAACAGAATCCAGAAAAGTTAAGTGACTTACTTACTCAAAGTAATTCAGTCTAATCTAGAACCTAGGTGTAAGCCTCCTGGCTTCTTGTCAAATGCTCCTCCCACAGACCCACCCTGATTCATTTAGTCAGTCCCAGTTTCCTAATATCTTCCAGTGTAACATCTCTCATCTGCAGATATCATAAGACTCACCTATGTTATAGCTTTTTTTTCCTTCCTAAATTTGACATTTTTGTTGTAGGGAAAGGAGATCAGGTGAGATATCCTCTCCTCCACAGATATTCCAAACACTTAGAAAACCAGTCAAAATATGTAGTAGTAGAGAAACAGTCTGGGTCTATTTCTCCACTGACAGTTATTTTGACTTGTTTTTGTTTTTTTGTTTTTTTAATATGTTTTTATTGGTCTTTTAGAGAGAGAGGAAAGGAGAGAGTTAGAAACATAGATATGAGAGAGAAACATCTATTGGCTGGCCCCTGCACTCCCCTTACTGGAGATCTAGCCCATAACCTGGACATGTGCCCTTACAGGGAATTGAACCAGGGCCTCTCAGTCCATGGGATGATGCTCAACCTCTGAGCCACACCCGCAGGGCTGTTTTGACTTGTTAATGTAGCTCTCCTACCTTATGGCTGCTCCATCATGCAGGCTGACTTTTGGGCCTGAGACACAAGGAAAAAGGGAAGGGTCTGAGAGTTGATAAAAGTCAAGTCTTGTTCTTTATCTTTGTCCCAGCACAAAGTCTCTTTAGGGAAGAATGAGCTCTTCTGCCACCTTGTGACATAGATTGAGAATAGCAAGCCCTCAGATCCTTGCCTACACCGGCTCCAAGGTGGCAGCATTGTAACATGGCATCTGGGGACTAAACCACAGAAAATCTGAAATAGCCCACCCGCTGTGGCTCATGCACCAAAAGGTCGGTGGTTCGATTCCTGGGCAGGACACATGCCCAGGTTGTAAGCCTGATCCCCAGTGGGGGGCATGCAGGACGCAGCCAATCCCAATCGATGTTCTCTCTCATCAACGTTTCTGTCTCTCTCTCTCCCTCTCACTTCCTCTCTCTCTAAAAATCAATAAAGGAAAAAAATAAAATCTGAAATAAAGTGACAGGGGGAAGTGTCTGATACTACAGGGAGGCAGAGAATCATGTGACCATGTAAATAGTAAGCAAAAACCATGTATCCTAGGAGAATCAAGCAACTTTAGCAGGGAAAAAGGAACAAGATGGTGCTGCTCTGAACCAATAAAGACTTGAGGTACTTATGTTCCCTCTGCTCAGTTGGCCTCACTTCTCTGCTCCCTTCCATAACAAAATATCTTGAAAAGATTGTGTATACATCTTCACCTCCAACTCCTTTTTAGCCCTCTCCTACTTCCACTACTCTGCTAAAGTTGTTCTTATAGGACTGTCAAGTATAGTAGACAGTCTGTTCTCATCATACACACCTCTCAGCATCTGACCAACTAATCTTTCCTTCCTTGGTTTCTATGACATCCACTCTCTTGGTTTTCTTAGCTTAGATGTCACTTCTCCTCAGAGAAGTCTTCCCTGACTACCCTACTTAAAGTGGCCTCTGCCAGTAATACTTCACCTCATCATTCTGTTTGTTGCTTCACAACAACTATCACAATTTCTAATTATCTTGGATATGTATTTGCATATTGTTTATTATTAGTCCTTTGCACTATTTTATTTTTACCAGGTTTATTGTCTGCTTCCTACCTTTTCATGTGAACACAGACTTGATCTTGCTCACTGTTAGAATAGTGTCTGGTACACAGTAGACCCACAATAAATACTTGCTAAGTGAAAGGCACTGCGGTTAAAGGTTCGGCACTTCCTCTCCTTCTTCCACATTTCAGGCAACATGTTATCCTTCAGTGACATCTCTTTCCCTTTTGTTTTCCCACTAAGATTTCCCATGATGCTCAATTTAGCCAGATTTCAACCTGAATTAAAATGTTAGCTCTGGCCAGTTTGGCTCAGCAGTTAGAGCGCCTGCCTGCGGTCCAGAGAGACCTGGGTTCGGTTCCCACTAAGGGCACAAACCTCGGTTGCGGTTTGTCCCCGGCCCTGGTTGGGTCGTGCGGGTGGCAGCCACTCGGTGTCCCTTTCACGTTGATTTTTTTTTTTCTCTCTCTCTCTTCTTCTCTCTCCCTCCCGCTCTGTCTGAATAAAAAATGGAAAAATGTCCTCGGATGAGGATAAGAAAAAAAAAAAAAATGTTAGGCAGCAGGGTGACATTTAAATCATGATTTGACTCAAATCTCATGAACTTCCTCATGGAATGTCCCTTGAATCAAGCTCCCTATTCATCATTATCAATCAGAGTATCAGCCTCTAGAACCTTCTTTTACATACCCAAACCTACGTTGACACCAATGGAATACATTTATAGTGGGTAGAATGACCACACCAGCTCTGGGATTAGGCAGAGGATCTGAGTAGTTCTTCATTTCTGCTTTATGATCCACCTAGTTATGCTATCACAAAGTCTATAGAGCATTATTACTAATTTTTTTTGTTGTTGTTAATCTTCATCCAAGGATATTTTTCCACTGATTTTTAGATAGAGTGAAAGGGGGAGGGGGAGAAACATGGATGCAACAGACACACATCGATTGGGATGGGGGCTGGGGATCGAACTTGCAACCCAGGTAAATGAGCTTGCCTGGGAATCAAACTCTCGACCCTCTGGTCTGTGGGCTGACGCTCTAACCTCTGAGCCAAACCGGCCAGTATAGAATATTATAAAATACACAGTTTTTGAAAAATCTTTAATGACCAGTTATCTGTCTAAAAAAATCTTTCCAAACTGCAAGCAGTATCTTTCGTCTAGGGTATTTAGCTCTTCCTCACAACCTCTTAGCCCAATAGTCATGGGAAGGTGGTCTACCTGTACTCTCTTCACTATTCAGGAGTGTAAAAATGTACAAAACCAGATAGGTATGTCTGTACTGATGTAAGTCTATATGTGTAACTGTGAATGAATTCTAGAAATCATTTGGTTGGAACATTTACAGAGGAAAAAATTGAGATGCAGAGAAATCAAGCAATTTTCTCAATATGACATAGTTAATAACAGCCTGTATTAGAACCCAGTTCTCTTCATTTCTAGTGCAGTGCTTTCTCCAATGTAACTCACCAACTTACTCAATCCCAGCTTCTTGCTCTACTCTAGAAATCACTTTCCTTAATAGAAATCTCTTTTTGTTGGTGTTTAAATCTATGTGCCTGTCAGTGAGCATGCTTGTGAATGTCTACGTGTCTACCTGCAAGTATGTATAAAGCATATCACTGGGCGTTTATGCCCTTTCTTCTAGGAAAACCTGTAGGTAATTAGTGTTTTTTATGTTGGCAACAACAGTGGTCAGGGAAGACCTAAGTCAATCGTTAACAAGCAGACTTGGTCCTCTCTCCAATCAGCTCTACTCCTGGCTCTCTTCAGGAAATGGGGCAAATAATTAGGGTGGAACCAGACTCTCCCAGGGTCAAACTTGGTTCCAGGGCAGTGAAAACACCTAGAGACAAAGTTATAAGGGGCTGTGACAGATTAGCAGCATACTGTTTCTGCAAGGAGCATGTGCTCAAGCTGACATGGATACCATCTTGGTTTTCAGCCTAATCATTACATCCTATGATGCCAACAAGAAAGGTAAGTGCTTCTCTAGCCTAATATCCTGGCAAATCCAAAGAGAGGCCTAGGAAGCAAGTGGGGTCTATTCCAGCAAATAGAAATATAGTCAATACTCAGTAGGCAACACTTTTCAGTCATCCCATGCATCCTCCTGCAGGACTGCAACTTATTGAACCCAGAGAGAATGATGTCTGTTTCATGGTGAGAAGTCTTCAGAGAATGTAATACATTCTTCTGTTTTGTTCATGTAACTAATATTTCACTATTAGATATATAACTTTCTTTTTAAGATTTTTAAAAATTATTTTTAGCGAGAGAGGAAGGGAGAGGGAGAAAGAGAAACATCAATTGGGCTGCTTCCTGCATGCCCCCTACCAGGAATCAAATCTGTCACCCACGCATGTGCCCTGACCAGGAATCTAACTGGCAGCCTTTTGCTGCCTGGGATGATGATGCCCAACCAACTGAACCACACCGGCTAGGGCTACATGACTTTCTTTCCTGGAGGGGTTGTCACAGTTTCAGTGTTATCATCACCTAAGCCCCCAAATTCATAGCCCCTCCAAAGATGTCTTCCTTTTTAAGGTGTTACATCCAAATACATGGGGATACTCTTGGGAGGGGAGAGCTAAGAAAAGGGTGGTGTGGAGATGAAATGACACCATTTCTGCTCTTTGATAATTGTTAAAACATGATTTTTCAAAACATCCTAAACATTTCATCTCTATAATTAGCTCACCAGTGTTAAAGCCAAACAGTATAATGTACAGCAGTAACAAATTTAGCAAATGAAGAAAACTCACAACACCCTGTAAGTTATGTGCCAAGAATCATAAATAACTATGACCTATGGTTCCATGGAAAACTGGAAAGATACCTTGTTCAAGGCTACACTTAATACTTTCAAAACTTTAAAACAAGAGGGCAAATGGAACAGGAAGGAGAAGAGATAATAATCAGTGTTTGAAGGAAAAGGTTGGTTAGTCTTTCATTAACTTCACTTAACTCTATTTCACCTTTTTTTCCTAAGGATAATAGATTGGTACTCAATTTTCTTTATACTAGTCTAACTTATCCTTGTATATACTTTAAAGTCTCTGAAGGGAATTTTTATCTTACCAATTGGAAGTTTTATGAGAAGGAACTGCATTCTTTTGTATCTCCCTCTCCAGCACCTGGAATTCTAAACAGTAAATACCCAGTAAATCCTGACTTTTTTTTTACTTCCAGAACTCAGAGATAGCAGCTGCCAAGTGGAACAGCTCCCAGGGCTCTTCCCACAGGGTGTGAGAAGCATCAGAGATGTGCTAATGCCAGGTATGGAATGAGTTCTCCCTTCCTGAAAAAAATCACTTCACCATTCCAGAAAACTTTTTTTGTTATCCTCACCTGAGGACATTTTTGCATTTATCTTCAGCTAGAGTGGGAGGGAGGGAGGGAGGGAGGTAGAGAGAGAGACAAACATCGACGTGAGAGAGACACATCGAGTGGCTGCCACCCACACGACCCCAATCAGGGCCGGGCATAAACCGCAACCAAGGTACGTGCCCTTAGCGGGAACCGAACCTGGGACTCTCTGGTCTGCAGGCCGACACTCTGACCCCTGAGCCAAACCAGCCATGGCAAACTTTCACCCGAGGATATGTTTCTATTTATCTTCAGATAGAGTGGGAGGGAGGGAGGAAAGGAGAAAGAGGGAGAGAGAGAGAAATATCGATGTGAGAAAGACATATCTACTGGTTGCCTACCGCATGACCCCAACCAGCGCCAGGGATGAACTGCAACAGAGGTACATGCCCTTAACCGGAATCGAACCCGCAACTCTTTGGTCCGTGGGCCGAAGCTCTAATCGCTGAACCAAACCAGCCAGAGCAAAAATTTTTACTTTTAAAAGATGGCTGTCTCCCCCATACCTAGCCCAGATTTCAAGTACCCTATTTTAAAGATTTGTATTCTTCCAAGAGGCTTTCTGGAAACCAATTTTTGAATTAACTGTTATTACCTAAGGCATGGCTATATAAATCAAAACAGTGGGTAAAGAAAGAGAAGGAGGCAGCACTCAACCCTCTTGGCATTAGAGAAGATAATCTATGAGCATTTCTCTAGGCTGAATTTACTACCATCACCTATGTTCATGGGACCCATGGCAGGAAGGAAGGAAGGTAGGGTTATATATTAAGTACCATAAGCATGTGCTGAGGAAGAACTTAACTAAAAACAGAAGAAAGTACAGCAGTGGGGTTTCAAGAGTCAATAAAGTGCTTTAGCTGTTCAGATTAAGAATCAACTTCCTTTATTCTCTCTGGCTTTTCTCCTTTCCAGAAGCTCAGGCAGAAGCCAACAGGTCCAACTTCATCCAAACTCTGACTGTGTCTACCCTGCAGTGCCTTGGCTCTGGGAGCAAAGTAAAAGTCAACCTTGTATATTCAGAGAGAAGGCCAAAGTTCAAGCATTCTCTAAAGAACCTGAGAGTCATTGCTGCTCCCCACAGAAATAGCACTGCTTTCCCAAGCTGTTACCTAACTCCCACATCCAACTTTCAGAATGGATCTCTTCTAACAGGAAAAGGTGAGAATGGAAAATGAGATGTAGGCAGGCATGACTTTTACTTGATAACCCTGAACTAGGTAGAGCTTAGTAGCAGCTAAAGTCTCAAGGCAATGGATTCTACTTCCTTGGGCAAATCTATGTCCTCTCTGAGACTCAGTTTTCTCATCTCTAAGGGCTCTTTTAGTCCTGACATACTGCAATTTTCACATGATCTCCATTTCTAATGGATCGTCTTTGACAATGGTTATTTGATTTTTATTTACTTGGAATATGCATGGTAGAATTTTCAAACAACACAGGTTTATAGTGAAAAGTAAATTTTCCTATACTCCACTCTCAGTCCTCCAGTACTCTATCCCTGAGGGAACCACTATTAACAACTATTGAATTTCCTTCCAGAGATACTCTATGTATGGATGTATATATTTTAAAAACATAAATAGTAGCAGACCATACATACCATTCAGTACCTTGCTTTTTCCCACTTAAATATGTATCTTATAGATTGTTCCATATCAATATGTATAAGTTTGTGTCATTCCTTGTAACAGTTGCACAGTATTACATTGTATGGCTGTATTATCACCAGTTGCCCATGGATGGATATTTTGGTTGTTTCCAATCTTCTGCAAATACAAACAATGCTGCAAGCACTGACCTTATATATTCTTTGTGTACCTGAAATTTATCAATAAATTGGATAAATTCCAAGAAGCAGGATTGCTGCACCAAAAGTTTGATTGATATTGCTAAATTACCCTCCATAGTGGTTGTTCAGTTTTTTACTCCCATCCACATTGAGGATGCCTGTTCCCCTCCAGTTGCTGAGCAATGGCTCTTGACCTCAGCCCTAAGTTTCTCTGCTTCTGCCCTTCCTTCCTTCTCCTACCCATTCTTTCAGTCAATTAGTTTATGATCAATAAATTGGTATTGACAGTTCCCCCTTACAGGCAATTCCCTAGATGCTACTGCTTCACTGTTGGAAAAATGAAATAAAACTTGATACTTTTAGAGAAACTGGGGGTTCACAAGCAGAATAATGGGGTGGGGCTTTTAAAACTACAATCTGTTTGGAGGCCTAGAGATTGGGAAATAAGTAGACAGGTTCTTCAGCTGTGGCCCAGGTACAGTAAATTATATATCCTTATATGACATGAACTCCTTTATTATACTTTCTAAAGTTCACATGGTGATAATTTTTGTGTGAAAAAAAACAACAACCCACTTTAAAGCCTCTGACAGTATTGGGGGGCTTTCAGTCACTCAGTGTAAACTAACTCAACCAGATTGTTCTCCTACTAACATGTGACACCTGCCTTAAGTTAATGGTAGGTGTGATGGGTAATATGAACTTAAGTCATTTGGAATCTAGAGCACTTTGTTCAGGGTGAATCTTTCTTGGATATAGTGCTATGCAGTGTTGGACTCAGAGCAACTAAGGACAAATTAATTAATCTCTCTTAGAGATTTGGGACAAGGAAAAAACGGAGATTAAGGGGGAAGAGAGATGCCAAAGATCAACTTGACCTAATTCAGCAATTTGTTTGGGCTAGCCTAGAGACCAGGGAAGGAGGAAGAGTTCAAGCCAGTGATTTGCAGCTAGTGTGCTGTAAGAATTTTTAAAACATGCGCCCTAGCTGGTTTGGCCCAGTGATTGGAGCGTTGGCCTGCGGACCAGAGAGTCCTGGGTTCAGTTCCCACTAGGGGCACGTACCACAAAACAAAAAACAAAAAACATGCAATTCCTGATTATATAGTCAGAAGCACTGACCTCTTTTCCCTTAGATTATCAAATTTAAAAATGACACCAGCCAACACAATAATAGCCATCCAGTGTGACTGAAACAAAATTATAACCTATTTTTTTGTCAGATCAGCAAAAAAAAATTTTTCATGTGCAGCAGAATTTTAGTAATTAGTTTATGTGTGCCATGAGATGAAAAAGGTTGAAAAATCACTGGTTTAAACTAATACCTGTACTATTTGAGCTGTGCAAAGAGATTAAATGAATGTTTATAGGTTAGTTTAAGGACCTAATCATCAATCAAGATACATTTCAAAAACAATGATGAATTGCAAACAACCAATTTATGAACGGGCTTTTGAAATATAACCCCATTTATAAGTTTGAAACTGCCTATACTGAATTTAACTTACACTGAGTACCAGGAAGGGACAGACTCCAAGTAGGGTAGAAATAAACATTAGGTAAATGGTCAAATTTAGAAGGTCATAAAAGAGATGCCCACTATAAATGACATCAGTTTACACAGGAGGATGTCCCAGAAATAGAAGACAATTCATGGAAATGTTCCCAAAGCAAAGTAGGAATTTGAAATAGTAAGGATGAGAATGTACTGCAACATGTTCATCATCAGAAGATGTGGGTCAACATGCAATGTAGAAAAATGTAAAATGGAGACTATTTGTTACTGTTTCTGGAATTTGGCCAAGGAAAAGATCCTCTGTTATAAATATTCCGATATTTCTGGTGAAAGAAGACCCATGGGTCTTTATCACTTCTCATAAGGTTTGTACCATTTAGTTCCTATTGCTCAGATTCTATATCAATCAAGAAGCTTTCAAATTATGTATTAGGTTTCACAAGAACCTCTATGTTTAGAAAAGGGTGTGTAGAAGAGAAAAGCATCCTATCTAATCCATTTGACAGACACATTCTCCTACGTAAATGTTTTCAATGTCATTTTAGTATATAGATTAGGCTCTTTGGAATTTGATTGGTGTGAACTAATTTTTATGGTCTGTTTACCCCATGTGAAACTGTGAGGAGAGAAGAAATATTACACAAATATTTATTCTAATATTAATGATCACCTTTGACAAGTTTCTTAATTTCTCCAGTGCTGTTTCTATAGCTACAAATGAGGGATTGACTAGATGGGTTAATTTCTATATATGTAAAGCGGAGGTTTAGATCTGAAGCACAAACCCAATTGCAATATATATATATGGCTTCTCAAATAGCCCTTTCTTTTTAAAAAATGTGTTTTTATTCATTTTTTAGAGAGAGGAAGAGAGAGAGAAACATCGATATGGAAGAGAACCATCGGTTGGCTGTCTCCTGCATGCCCCCTGCTGGGGATTGAGGCCTGTAACCAGGGCATGTGCCCTGACTGGGAATCGAACTGGGACCTCTCACTCCATGGGACTATGCTCAATCCACTGAGCCACATAGGCAGGGCTCAAATAGCCCTTTCAACCTGATAATATTATTACAGAATAATCTCTAAAAGAGACCTCCATTTAAATATAATGCACCTAATCTTCCCTATTTAAAATAAATTATTTTGTAATAAAGCAAAGCATCATCTCCTAAATCAGTGGTTCTCAACCTGTGGGTTGCGACCCCTCTGGGGGTCGAACGACCCTTTCACAGGAGTTGCCTAAGACATAACAGTAGCAAAATTACAGTTATGAACTAGCAATGAAAATAATTTTATGGTTGGGGGTCACCACAACATGAGGAACTGTATTAAAGGGTCACAGTATTAGGAAGGTTGAGAACCACTGTCCTAAATTACCCATTTCATAAATTGGAATTTTTGTTCAAATTTTTTAAAAATATGTTATTGATATTTTGAGAGAGAGAGAGACAAAGGAAGGGAGAAGGTGAGAGAGAAAAACATAGATGAGAGAAAACCATCAGCTGCCTCTTGCATGCTCTCTACTGGGGATAGAGCCTGCACCCCGAGCATGTGCCCTGACCTAAAATCAAACCGGTGACCTCTCCTCAGGGCATGGGACCACGCTCAACCAACTAAGTCACTCTGTCCGAGGCTGTTCATCTTCTTAAAATGGGGCATTCTTGCCCTCGACGGTTTGCTCAGTGGTTAGAGCATCAGCCTGTGGACCAAAGAGTCATAGGTTCGATTCCAGTCAAGGACATGTACCTCGGTTGCAGTTTGTCCCTGGTCAGAGTCATGGGGGAGGCAGCCAGTCAATGTGTCTCTCACATCAATGTTTCTCTCTCTCCCTCTCTTTCCTTCCCTCCCATTCTATCTGATGATAAATGTAAAAAAAATATCCTCGGGTGAGGATTAAAAAAAATAGTAATTAAAAAAAATAAAATGGGGCATTCTTGCTCAAATAGCCATAGCCAGAGAAAAGTCACTATTCACACTCTTGAACAGTGAATATTGCAATTCCATTGTCTCTGGGAATGGAGAGCTGTATTTACAAATGTGCTCCACCTTAATGCTCAGTTACCTAGCAGATAAGATCTAAAAGAGATGAACAGCCAATATGGATGGACATTAATTCAGAAACTAGGCAGAAATGAAAATACACTGATAGATGAAGCCTATCTAGTAAACTTTGAAATAGTGGCCCGTAGGAGGTGAGAAGACATGCCATAGTGAAATACCACTATCCCTGTGGTTAGAGGGAACAATTCTTCTACTTAGAGGATCTCTAGGTTTTCCCTCCTCTTCCAGTTATAATATCACTCAGTTTGCAGAGTGTTTTCATTTTTAGTTGTTTCTCATCTTCACATCACCCTTGTGAAACAGGTACACCAAGAATTATTTCATTATAACCATCTTACATACAAGGAGACCAAAACTCAGAGAACTTATGTGACTTGTCCAAAGTGAGATTTGCTTACCTTCATCTCATCTGTCTCATAAACACATATTATCACTTCAGAGAACTGACTGGCACTATGCCGAAAATACTTCACATAATTTCCCGTTTTTCTTTTGAAACTGTGGCACTTTGACTCTGCCTATCTTTGCTAACACAGTCTTCCTGATTAAAATGAAATCAAGGATGACTCCTTACTGTGTAATTTCATGTATAGTGCCTGGTTCTGAGGCCACTACTCTCTGAAGTAAGGAACTTTCATTTTCACATAATCAAGACATGGGAGAGTAATTCAGAAATGTCATGTAGGACTTACAGACCTTAATTTAATAAGCAGTGATAAGAGACTATTCAAAGTCAAATAGGAACCACTGTCTGAATTGGATTAGGTCAATTCTGGAGGCAAGTGAAGTTAGTTCCAGACTACAGCCAGAATCTGCTTGCATCATTCCATCACTTCCATAGCCGGTCTGAGTTACCATCATCTCTCATTTGGACTTCTGCAGCAGCCTAACAGGTGACTCTGCTTCTACCCTCTCCCCACCTTACAGTATATTTCAGTGATCCTTTAAAAATAAAGCCATCCTGCCACTCTTCTACTTAAAATCTTGAAATAGATCCCCATTTCTTTTTCTAAATATGTTTTTAACTGATTTTAGAAAGAAAGGAAGAGAGAGGGAAAGAGACATAATTTCAAACCAGCAACCTTCCAGTGCAGGACAATGCTCAACCACCTGAGCCACACTAGCCAGGGCTGGATCCCCATTTCAATCAGAATAAAAACCAAAGTCCTTAAACTAGCCTACCAGGCCCTCAGTGATATGGGCTCATTTCCTTTAGATATTTATATCTCCTATTCCTTTCACTTGCTCACTCCACTCCAATCTCAATGGCCTCCTTGCTCTTCCTCTAAAACTGTAACATGCCAGACATCCATGCCTTGGGGCTTATACTCTAGCTCTCACTTCTGCCTAAGTCATTACAGCAGGTCCTCAAGTAATGTTGTTTTGTTCAACATCATTTTGTTATAACACTGATGAGAAGAAAATTGATTTACACTAGGGCCACTGTCTGTGTGGAGTTTGCATATCCTCCCCAGTCTGCATGGTTTTCCCCCTATACTCTAGTTTCCTCTCACATCTCAAAAATGTGCACATTGGATAAACTGGTGTGGCTACATTGCTCTGGTCTGAGTGAGTGTGGGGGTGTGTGTGTGCGCCCTGCAATGGAAGGGTTTCCTGTCCCAGGTTGGTCCCCATCTTGTATTTGCTGGAATAAGCAGGTTAGAAAACAATTATCTTGCTTGTTTTCATTAATCTTTATTAAATGTATGCATAGCTCAAATTTATTTTAAAGTTTACTATTAGAAGTGTTTGGGGTCTTTAGAAGTTTGGTGATGTTTTTGTGACCAGAAATAGGCCATAAGAACTTAACTCTTGTTTATAATAGTTTGTCTATGGTAACATTAGTTTTGTTTTATATCATTTCGCCTTACAGTCACAGTTCCCAAGAACCTAATGACAACATTAGTGAGGACTTACTATATTTTCTCAGGCATCTGCTTGAATATTCCCCTCACCTTCTTCAAGTCTTGGCTAAATTCTCACCTTCTTACATGTTGCCAAACCACTGCCTACCTGCACCCCAAGACTGCTCCCTTACCTTGCTCTACTTTTATGTATTTATTTATTTTGGTAGCACTTGTCCCCTTCTAATATACCATAAAGTTAACTGTACTTATTGTGGTCTGCTTCCCCCGCCCTCCTCAACCCTTCCTCCCTTTCACTTGTTCCTTTGTTAGAATGCTGATACAGTATATTCAAAGTAGTGGAGCAGTGCCTGCCACACAGTAGATATTCATTTTAAATTATTTGCTGAATAAATGAAATTGAGGAGTGAATATAGTTAGGTAGTCTTTCCTTCTTCTTCCAGCTCCCTTTGCTTTCTCCAGACCCCTCTTGGAGTAGTGTACTTAGATTCCACTAGACAGACTTGCAGCAGTCATTAAGACAAATTATGATATTCCATGTTCTTCCTTGGACTCTGGAGCCACGTTTTTTAAAGACGGAAACTTTGAACAGTGTTACGCCCTCTGTCCTTATTATTATTATGGCCTTAAGAATGATAGACAAACAAGATATGGTCTACTCCTCCATTCTGATCATACATTAGTCAAAGGCCTCATGGGGATTTTAATCCATATCTCTTATTAGTATCTCTATCCTCATTTATTCTTGGCATTTAGGGCTCACACCCTAAACCTATGGACAGGTCAATGGGGCCACAGTGAGAAGTTAAATATCACGTAAGTAGAGCTAGGGTTTTTTGTCAGGTAAAAATCAAGAGCAAGATAAAGTTTCTTCAGTTGTCCTTTCATTATTTCTTTCTTGTGTTACAGCTTTCTTACCAGGGATCTCCCAATGTAAGGTCTATCCAGCGATGGGAGCTTCGTCAGAGACTTTCCCCACTATTACCACCTCCATAACTCCAGGGAATAAAGAAAGAACAAAAACTACAAGTACTGATGATGTTTCTAGCCCTTTGAAACAACAAGGTACAGAATAAGTAGGGGTGAGATGAGAACAGAAAGAAAAACATTTTTAGCCCCAATATTAGGTCTCCTAGGATTTTCATGGAGGTTGAGAAGTTACACAGAGTTTACATTAGAAAACCACTCCATTTCCTATGGAAAAAAGAAGGTCCTAGAAATGTTTGTAGTTTGACACTATAGTCATACACTGCATAACAACATTTTGGTCAATGATGGACCTACTGTATATACAACAGTGGTCCCGTAAGAGTATAATGCAGCTGAAAAATTTCCATCGTTGTATTGTAACATCATAGTGCAATGCATTACTCACATGTTTGTGGTGTTGCTGGTGTAAACAAACCGACTGCACTGCTAGTTGTATAAAAGTATAACATATATAATTATGAGTAGTACATAATACTTGATAATAATAAATGACTGTTACTGTTTTATGTATTTACTATACTATACTTTTTATCATAATTTTAGAGTATAGTCTTTCTACTTATAAAAAAAGTTTGCCATAAAATAGTAAACCATGTTAAGCCAGCAGCAGCCTCATACATCCCATATTCACTGTGTCTCTTGATTACATAATTTTCTCTTATGCTTGATTTAATCTCAGATTATTTTGTATAGCCTAAGTGTACAGTGTTTATAAAGTCTACAGTAGTGTACAGTAATGTCCTAGGCCTTCACATTCACTCACCACTCAGTCACTGATTCACCTAGAGCAACTTCCAGTCCTGTGTGCTCCATTCATTCATGGTAAGTACCCTATATAAGTGTATCATTTTTTATCTTTTACACTTTATTTTTACTGTACCTTTTCTAAGTTTAGATACACAGATACCAATGTGTTACAACTGCCTACAGTATTCAGTACAGTAACATGTTGTATAGGAGCAATATGCTATAACATATAGCCTAGGAATGTAGTAGGCTACTGTCTAGGTTAATATAAGTGCACTTTATCTTTTTCACTCAATGATAGAATTGCCTAACAATGCATTTCTCAGAATGTATCCCTGTTGTTAAGGGGCACATGACTGTATTAATAATGTTTTACCTCCACATAAGTGAGCTCATCTTATAGCCAGATTTGAGGACAGAATAAAATATATTCATATGGTAGGTAACTCCAGCCATTGCATGTATAGATAGATGACATTTACACTGTAAGCAATCATTACAGTGATGACAACAACCAAGTGCATGTTTCATCTGCACTGTTTTTAGAAATAGCCTCCCCTAAATTGGCCAGGATTCAAATTCTATAAGATTCTGAATTCTGGTTTGGGTTACATCCTAATTCCTATCAGGAGAAATATAAATATAAGACTAATAATAACAAGATGCATATAAGTCATCTGTCCCCAAATTTGGCTCATACCCCAGAAGCAATGCCAATTCACCTTTGTTCCTCCTATGCCCCACTAAAGCTATTAGAAGCACAGGAGGATGATTTTCTAGGTAGAGAGGCTGAGAGGGCTGCTGGTGAAAGATGAGTTTACAAATCCTTGTGCACCCCCAACCCCTTTTCCTCCTTTGAGAGTAGTGCAAGAATCAGTTCTACTTGATCATGGGAAAATCCTAAATCCCAGGGAAGGTGACTCATTGGGAAAAGGCTGCAAAGGAGATTAGAGCAGAGTCCATGATGCCCACCAAACACATGACTCTAAGTCTGAACTAGAAATTCAGCCTCTGCCTCTGAACCAAGCTGGACCCCTCTTAGTCATGTGAGCCAGGAGACCTTCAAATCAGAGGGTTGATCTCTTCCCTCTCTCAAATTCTCTTTCTCCCTTTTCTACTCTTTCTCCTTTTAGACACAGATGAAAACCTAGAGAAGAGGCAGAAATGGAGCACTCTGGTCAAATTTCTGATTGCTGTCACTCTGTTGCTCAGTGTAATCGCCATTACAGTGTTTGTCATTTTTGAAGTCCCATGTCCTGTAAGTTTGCTGATGTATTGGGTCCTTGGGCTTGATCTATAAAAATCTTTTCCAGAGGTAGGCTGGCATAAGAAGAAAAGCATAGACTTTGGAGTTTGGACAGACCTGCCACTCATACTCATTAGCTGAGTGGCTTTGAGAAAGTTGCTTGACTTGTCCAACTTCAGTTGCCTCATCTTTAAAATGGGACTAATGATATTTGCCCCTCACGGTGGTTATGAAGATTAATTGAGATCCTGTGTGATAGGTGCCTAGCACATCGGAGGTCCTTGTTAATGTGAGTTCCTTTCCTCTGCTATACTTGTACATTCTTTAGGGAGGATACAGACAATAGGATAAAATATTTTTTTAGAAGAGATGATTTTCTTTAAATGGCCTGACATGAAGTTTGGAAGATAATGTATATCAGCCACCTGAAGTTAATACCAGTCATTTTCTCCCCCTTAGAGTCAATGCCTGAGAAGCAGAGAGCTATGCCAATGCCAACGACTGTGGAGATGGCAAAGAAAGGGAGGTCAGCAACCTGAGGCAGCTGAATCCCAGCCTGACTCTCAGTCAGAGAAGGAAAGTGTTCTCTGTATGGTTTATGTCATTTGCTTGGAGAAAATGGGGCTAACATATAAGTACTAGGAGACAGGACGCTGCTTCAGTTATTAAGCAAATGTGGGTAATTTTTTATGTGTCAGGAAATAGGCAGGTATTTGTATTGCTATTTTCTTAACATCAGCCCAGCAATAGCACAGTAGGGTACATACTTAAAATACATATTTCTGGGCCCCAGATATAATGAATCAGGAATTTTTAATATGCTCCCTAAGTAGAGGTAAATTTACTGTAAAATTAATGAAGCTTAAGCTTCAGGAACCATGGGACCTTATATCCAATTTTTTATTTTTAAAATGTGTATTCTTTTTCTTTAAAAAAGCTCCCAAAAAACGATAAGAGCTTCAGAGCCCACAATTATGCATCCATTCCTGCCCCTAGGTAACTAGTATATACACAAAGTTTAGGAACCACCACACTTGAAACAATTTGAAATTTAGTAAAATAGCTTCCTTCCTCCCCACCCTTGGGTTGCCTGACAAGATTATAAATTCATATTGCCCTTTGGTGTCTAAAACAGACACTACCCCACTGGTTCAGCACAGCTGCTTTAAATCCAGTTTCCTTTGTTTGAGCCTCATAAAAATCCTGTGACATAACTAGGGCAGGTATCTATATTTTATTGATACTTAAATTGAGGCTCAGCAAGGTTATGTGACTTTCCCAATGTCACACAGCTGGTAGAAACAGAACTAAAGTCCAGGACTTTTCATTCCTATACTGGATTTACTGGCTCATTCATCTATTCCACAACATTTTACTGAAAGTACAAATTTTACTTCTATGTGCCAAGTCCTGCCTTCTAGAGGCTTACAGTCTATGTTCACTACAGGTTAGCATTTAGAAAGTACCTAGAAAATCAGATAGGGTATGGAATCAGGTGTAGTGAGAGTGGAATGGGATTAGTAAAAAATATTTGGTCCACTTATACCCAGATCTGTGCTGCTTTTCCAACAGAGCAAGATTGTTTGGGCCTGATTCAAAGAATGAAGTAGAATCCTTGTGTAACCGGGAACCAAAGTAGTTGCAGACCCAGGGTCTTTTTCATTCAAGGCAAATAGATCAAGCAAGGGGTAGAGTGGCTCTTTGCTGGAAGGTATAGGGTCCAAAAAAGTGTAGGTTTTCACACTAAGTGTACCTTGCTGATACTTTCTCTGTGTTAAGTACAACTTTCCCTAGAATTATTGAGTAACAAAGAGGCAAAACGATATGTACTTGGAATTTTGCAGGGTTTTGTACTTAGCTATCTTTTTGTTGGTACATGAAGAAATATTTATTTGCACCCTTCTTTATCTTTCCTATTTCCTTTCATGCTCTAGGTTGGAGAAAATACTCCCAACTCAAGCTCAAAGAAGGCTGCAGGGATCACTGTTATCCACCAGACATACTTCTGAAAAGTTTTGCTCTGCCTCATATACTGCATGATGGATACTACACTGTCTTCTCCCTATTATTAATTAAGATGGGCAGACTCTTGCCAATTCTACACTTTTTCCTTCAGCAGGAACATTACAATAAAACAGTAATGCCAAGCCAATGAAGAGGGAGCCTGGGCTTAACAATCAATTACCCTCATGCCACTGGTACTGACTGAGTCATAAACCTTTGAGATTTACTTTCTACTTCCACAAAAAATGGGTATCTTCTCACCCCATCAAATAAAAACGGAAAGTTTTCCCTCTAAGCACTGTGAATGGACCTATTGCTCTCTTTGACAAAAGGTTTAAACACAGCCTCCAAGGAACAGGGCAGGGCAGCCACAAGTGTAGCACAGTTCACTAACTCCTCTGTCTTCACAGCTGACTTCATGCTCACTGGCTATCAACTGGCTTAGTATTCCCGTTTTCCTAAGGCTGACAGTCCTAAGGTTTTATGATTTAGCCTCTGCCACCACAAGTAGCTATGAACACACTGGTGATGGGAATGTGAATTTAAGCATCCCAAATGTCCTTTTCAAAAAGCCCCAAGGGGCTCAGAGACTGCATACCAGTAAGACCCAGATGAGATCTCCTGGTAATCCAGAGTTCCTGAAAGGATTGGATCTGACTTTATACCCTACCATAAGAGTTAGCTGTGTACATTCTGAACAAGGACCAGAGCAAAATGATTATCATGATCTTTCTCATGGAGGCACAGCTATAAGTCATCTGGCCTGCTTAAGAGTTTGGTAAGAAAGTGGAAAGAGCTGATGTTAAAGCAAGATTTAGGTAAAAGGGGAATGGCGAAGACAGATAAAATTGTTATCCTGCCTCTGTTCATAAAAGGCTGAAACCATTCCATTTCATTATAGTAAAATGTGCTTGTTTCTAAGTAATTCTGTTTTCTTAGTTCTCCAGTAAAAACATACAAATTGTAGTCTTCTTTCTTTCACTTCAAGTTTGTCCAAACACAAGTAATTCCCAAAACTGTACCAACAGGGGAATATATCTTGCCATAAGCCCTGAATTAATATTCAAGCCAAGCGTGGAAGAGATGGAACAGATATAAAGCATGGATGATAGTAGCTTTCAAGGAAGCCTTTGAGACCTTCTAAGCATCCTAAAGTTCCACAGAGACTTGAAAACATAGTAAGAGAAGACAACAGAGCACTGGGACTTGCATTAGGATAAATGAGTATATTTTTTGCACCCTTCCACTGATTCACATCACCTCCGGTTTATCCTGCCATCTGTAGTTCAGTCTGAAATAGGAGTAGGGGGAAAATTTGTTCCTTCCCAAGACCATGAGGGAGGATGATTATAAGCATTCTATACTTAGAAGCCCCTGGTTTAGGACTGATGCCTACATTCATCCCCACCCTTCCCAGTCTCATCCACCACAGAGTGTCCTTTAATCCAGAAACACGAGATTTCTCAGGAGATGAAACCTGGGGCAAAGTCTACATTCATTAACACTTCTGCAAGAGTATTATTTGGATAATATTTATAATGACTTTCTCTACAGAAATTCACCGATGGGATCAAAATTATTTAGTTTGCTTTGGGGACAACCTGTTTCTCTTGACAAAGCAAGGTCCCTCTGAGGACTTTGACTCCCTAATCAGTTAATCAGTTTGAATCCCACATTCTCTTAACAGCAGAGATCTCTGGAAACAAAGAGATAGCAGAAGGGAAGGGAGAACTCCCATGTGGACTTTGGGATGGGCACCTCAGTCTGCAGATCACTTCACAACAGTACACAATTCTCCCTGTCACCACTATAGAAGAAGTTATAGTCTCAACTTGATAAAACACTGTTTCTATGGAGTGCCAACTATTCCTCTGGGAAGTGACTAGTTGGCAAGTTTTCATTGCAAATTCTTTCTCATCCTTTGTTGTTCAATTATTAAAGTACATTCTCATTATAACAATTTTTGAAAAATACTGGAAAATCTGAAGAATAAAAAAGTATACCTAATACTAATACCCAGAGAAAACCACTGTTAACACTTTGATGAACCTCTTTATAGTCATTATAAATATATATCCTTATACATAAAAAGACATATGTTACACAAATAACATCATACTCTTCCTACCATTTTAAAGTTGTCCATCCCTTTTTTGACTAATATATTACTATCATATTTCCAGTTAGCACAAGTATTAAATTGTGTTTTTTCCAAGACTTAGGGTAGAGAACACTGAAGTTATTCCACCTTTTCTAAGGGTCTAAATCACCTCAATACTTCTTTTTAAAATCCTCATCTGAGGATATGTTTTTTTGTTGATTCTAGAGGGAGAGAAAGGGAGACGGAGAGAGATAGAGAGAGAAACATTGATGTGAGAGAGATACATTGATCAGTTGCCTACTGGACGCACCCCAACTGGGGCCCAAACACACAATCAGGAATTGAACCCATGACCCTTTGGTGCAGGGTACAACATTCTAACTAACTGAGCCACACTGGCCAGGGTACCCCAATACTTTTTGATAGATTCAAAGATTAAGGTAGGACATGCACTCCTCCAGAGGATCATGTCTGTGACATTCCTTTTCCCCTCTCCTTCCCCAACAAACACAGATCTCCTAAACTCTAAGGGACCCTGCAAGACTTGCAATCAGGAGAGCAATGGGCAGTGGCAACTCATCCCAGGCTAACCTCCTAAACCTGTCTCCAAGGCCCCCTGTTATCTGACTTCTCAGTGAGCCAAAGCAGCCCAGCCTAGGCTCTCCTTTTACTTCTTCTATGCCCTTCCTTGTTTCACTGTCCTAAGTGTGTTTTTGCTGTAGCCAATAAATTCTTGCTTGCTTTACTAAAAAAAAATAAATAAATAAGATTAAGGTAGGAAGTTGCTTAGGGCAGAGAAGGCACATTCACAAAAACTTCCAATTTAAACTTTTGAAGGTATTGCTGAATGACATTAATAGTTATATGTGTCACATCTGCCTGAATGGCTGCCATCAACAAATCTTCAAATGACAAGTGCTGGTGAGGACGTGGAGAAAAGGGGACCCTAGTACACTGCTAGTGGGAATGCAGATTGGTGCAGCCACTATGGAAAACAATATGATGTTTCCTCAAAAAATTAAAAATGGAATTGCCATTTGGCCCAGTGATTCCATTTCTAGGACTATATCCTAAGAAGCCTGAAATACCCATCAGAAAGAATATATGCACCCCTGCGTTCATAGCAGAGCTATTTACAATAGCTAAGATCTGGAAAAAACATAAGTGTCCATCAGTAGATGAGTGGATAAAAAAGCAGTGGTACATTAACACAATGGAATACTATGCAGCTGTAAGAAAGAAAGACTTCTGACTTCCGGTCAAGATGGCGGCGTAGGTTAACGCAATATCACGTCCTCCCACAACCACATCCAAGTTACAACTAAACTAAAGAACAACCATCATTCAAAACCGCCTGAAATCAAGCTGAATGGAAGTCCTACAACTACGGAATTAAAGAAGCTGCATGGAGACTGGTAGGAGGGGTGGAGGCGTGGAGGCGCGAGGGGCGGTGGTGAGACAGCGGTGAGACTGGCTGGTCCCACACCCACGTGTGGCGGATAAAAATCAGGAGGCTACCTCGGCTGGGAAGGTCCTTCCTGAGGACTGAGGGGTCCCCGTCCCACAACAGGTGCCCCACTCAGGGTTCCAGTGCCAGGAAGAGAAGTCCCCATAACTTCTGGCTGGAAAAACCAGCGGGAACTGAGGCTTAGGGAAGCTGAAGCGGCTGGAGCCCCAGGTAGCTCCTTAAAGGGCCCACGCACGAACTTATCGAACTCACTCCCTCTAAGCTTGGAGGGGAGGCAGCTCGAGGGGCACCAGAGACATACAGGGAAGAACTGAGCTGTTTGGCACTGGAGCGAGGGCTGGACAGGGGGCTTTCTCCGGGACAAACGTGCTGTCAGAGGCCTTTGTTCCTTTGGTGAGCCCTTCCCTGGGGCGGCAGACAGCCGCCATATCTGGGACTCCAGCAACCTGGCTCACACAGGTAGCCCCGCCCTGGTGACTCCCTGAGGCCCCGCCCTGTCCCACCCAACTTTCAGGCCCACCCAAGCTGTTGCCACTTGTTTAACCATTGGATTGGCCTGTCTTGGATCCTGCTTCAGGTTTTTCCTAAATTTTTTCAAATGAGCAGCATCTGGTCTGAGCTCGATAAGTAATACACAGAAACAAACACAGGGAGGCAGCCAAAATGAGGAGACAAAGAAACAGGTCCCAAATAAAAGAACAGAACAAAACCCCAAGAAAAGAACTAAGCGAAATGGAGATAAGCAACTTAACAGATGCTGAGTTCAAAATACTGCTTATAAGGATGCTCAATGAACTCAGTGAGGGCCTCAAGAGCATAAAAAAGGACCAGTCAGAAATGATCGATGTACAGTTAGAAATGAAGGAGGTTTTAACTGAAATAAAGAATAATTTACACAGCTTCAATAATAGAGTACGTAAATCCAAGGAGCGAACTATTGATAAGGAAGCAAAAAACGCCCAATCAGAACAGCAAAAAGAAAAAGGAATCCAAAAAAATGAGGATAGTGTAAGGAGCCTCTGGGACAACTTCAAGTGTGCCAACATTCACATCTTGGGGGTGCTGGAAGGAGAAGAGAGAGAACAAGAAATTGAAAACCTGTTTGAAACAATAATGGCAGAAAACTTTCCTAACTTGGTGAAGGAAAGAGACATACAAGTCCGGGAAGTACAGAGAGTCCCAAACAAGATGAACCCCAAGAGGCCCACACCAAGACACATCATCATCAAAATGCAAAAGGTTCAAGACAAAGAGAGAATCTTAAAAGCAGCGAGAGAAAACCAGTTAGTTACCTACAAGGGAGTCCCCATAAGGCTGTCAGCTGATTTCTCAAAAGAAACTTTGCAGGCCAGAAGGGAGTGGCAAGAAATATTCAGAGTGATGAAAAGCAAGAACCTACAACCAAGATTACTCTATCCTGCAAAGCTGTCATTTAGAATGGCCATATAAAGAGTTTCCCAGACAAGGAAAAGCTAAAGGAGTTCATCACCACCCAACCGTTATTATATGAAATGATGAAGGGTCTTTTTGAAGAAAAAGATAAAATATATGAATAAACAAAATGGCAATGAATACATATTTTATCAACAATAGAATCTACAAACAAAATGAACAGGTAGAACAGAAACATTCTCACAGATACAGAGAACATTTTGTTGGTTGCCA